CTACTAGGCCCAAAACATGGTGCGGAGGTTCGCACACGCATGCACAGGGGGGCGGGGGGAATGCAGGGTCATGCACGCTTGCATGGGGGAGCACGGGGGGGGTGTCGTGCACACATGTCCAGGGGGGCAGGGCGATGTTGTGCGCATATTGCATTATGGGTGCGAGCGCATGTGCACGGACACTTTCGACACACAACAACAAAAAAGTTAGCCATCACTGCTATATAGCAAGCAACAATTGAAATGTTGAATATAATTATTAATACCACTGACAAGTGTCTTGAAGAGTTTGTAGAGAGAAGCATACTTCATCCTACTCGGGTTATAATTAAATGGGAACTTTTGTGTGTCCATAGTAAGTGGGGATTGAGATTTATATAAAAATGTTTCTTAGTTAGATTGTGATTTCTGTACTTAGCAGGCACCCCTGAAAGTGTTTCATTTAATAGGGTCACTGGGGTTAACTTGATTATTTGACCATTTCTGGAATTATTGTTTTAAATGTAAAAACTACTGAACTACTTTAAAATATTATTTTGAATTATTATTATATACCTACCATTGAAATAATGATTTTTTTTTTGGCTTGGTATTTCAGATCCAGAATGCAGACGATGTTTTAATAGCACCGCTTGAGAAATTTCGTAAAGAGCAAATAGGTGCAGCAAAGGTGAGTTGTTAAGGAATACTACTGTTTTTGTTAAGGAATACTACTGTTTTTACTTTATTGTTGCATCACTACTACATCTCTTAAATTCAAAGTCAAAGTATGCACATTCTCTTGGATTAATGACTTTGGGGTGGGGGGGGGACACAAGAGACTCCATCTTGGGAACTTGACAACTTCTTGACTTCAACTCCCAGAATTCTTCAGCCAGCATGGAGGAATTCTGGGAATTGAAGTCCACAAGTAGTAAAATTGCCAAGGTTGGAGACTTTATGCATTCTTGTTCTAAGAAGCTGTTTGTTGATTGATTGGTTTTCGTATGTGATCTTCTAATCAGTACAGACTTCTAGTGGCTAATGTCATAAAAATTACAATAGCTGCAAAATAAAAAATGAAAAAACCCTCATAACGATAGCAATACTAATAATCAGCCAACATTGATACATTTCTGTTGCCTAGTTATTCAGTTATCGTGCTTGACAAGTCATTGCTCACAGTGACAATAGCATGCTTTTGGAGGGTTTCAGTTGTAATGATAATTAAAAAAAATAGTATTGCATTAACTGTTATCCTATCTCTTACTGATATGTCATATGCTAAAGAAATTTATGGCTCTGAGAACTAATGGTTTAACACTACTCATATCTTCAAGATTTATTATAAACTGCAGTAAGATGTAAAAGAGATTAGGCTTCTATTTTTAACATAGCTTACTCTCCCTTTAGATAGTCATGTGTAGTATATGCTGGCATCTTCTTCCTTCAGCTAACTGAGTTGATCTGGTCTGTGTGTAGGACTAGAATGGAGAGAATAAATAGGATAGGGAGATTTTGTAATGTTGGGGGTCTTATGTAACTTGAAAATGATTCGCGAGAGTTATTAAATTTATAAATATGGGGAAGATAAAGACAGCAAATATTAGTTGTATTTATGATTAACCAAGCTTCCGATCTTAAGTATTAAGTCTAAGCTAGCTAATGATTTCCTGTCTTGAAATTGCCAAAGACTGAAAAACAGAATAGAGCTGGAAGGGACCTTGGAGGTCTTCTAGTCCACCCCCCTATTCAAGCAGGAGACCCTATAACATTTCAGACGAGTGGCTGTCCAGTCTCTTTTTCAAAACCTATTTTTATGTGGGTAATCTTCCACTTGCAACCACAATTGAATCCCATTTTTTTGTTGTTAAGCAGGACAGTTAAGCAAGTTTTGACCTATTTTATGACCATTCTTTCCACGGTTGTTAAGTGAATCACTGCAGTTGTTCAGTTAGTAACACAATTATAAAGTGAATCTGACTCCCCCTTGACTTTGCTGATCAGAAGGTCATAAAAGGAGATCCCATGATCCCATGTCATAAATACATGCCAGTTGCCAAATGTCTGGATATTGATCCTGTGACTAAGGGGATGTTGCAATGGTCGTAAGTGTGAAAAACAGTCATAAGTCCTATTTTTGTAACTATGAACGGTCATTTAATGAATGCTTGTAAGTATCTGTATTCCAGTTTTCAGATCTTCATCTTTTGCTCATTCTGGCTGGAAACTAATTCAAAATATGTGAAGAATAGCAGTTCTATGCTTCCCCCAAAATAGGACAGGGTCTTATTTTCTTTTGACCCCAGAAATAAGCGCTTGGTCTTATTTTCAGGAAGGTCTTACAATTTTTGAGGTGCAGGAGGTGGCAAGCGTGGTCACCTCATGGCTGCTGGTATGTTGCAATATTTTCGTGGAGGGCTTATTTGAGCGCATGCGCTCAAAAGCCCAATTGGGATTATTATCTAGGGAGGTCTTATTTTCAGGAAAACAGGGTATATGATACATTTCTGTTAATGTCATTGAATCTCTTGCCTTCCCCTACCGTTAGCAAATCCCAATATGCATTGGATAGCCTGGCAATCAAATTTATCTGAGCTAGAAAGTATGGGGGGGGTGGGAGAATGACCTCTATCTTTTATATTCCCCAACTGTAAGGCGGGAGGGGGGGGGAGTAGAGTGAGCTAACTGGGAAAGGATTCCAGGCATGAAGGCACTTTCCTTATTTGGTCAATGTGGTTAGCTGGAACCCAGCTGGTAATGTTGAAATCATGGATTACTGTGTTGTCTGCTTTTAGGGCCCAGCTCCCTCTTGGTTCAGCCTTATCCATTCTGAATAGTATTTAGCAATATTTTTTCAAGTGCTCCTTGGCCTCTTTGCAACAATCTGCATCACATCAAAGAAGATGGAGGAGCAAATTCTTGATGTTTTAAAGACATTAATGAAGACTTCTTTGCTCGCCACCTCCCCTCTTCCGCCCAGCACTGCATTCCTTCTGCTTTTGCTATTCCTTTTGGCACAGGAAGAAACGGATCTGTTTGTTGTTCTGTTGATTTGGCTCTATATCTATATCTTGAATTATCACAACCTCACATTTCCACGGCATTTCAGAATCTCCCAGACCTTTAAGCTATAGGATCTTGTTGCAATTCCTGAAACATCCCTATAAACATAATGCCATATAGTACCTGCCTATCATTTTACTTAGCTTGCTGTTGCATTCTTATGCTTCGTCACAGTCAGTCAGATGTTCAAACTGGATTTGGCATTTTCATAACTATCGAGTCCTTCTCAAGGACCTTTGAAGGGCTGATATGGATGCTTGATCGTGTTACAGATATTGTCGCAGGATGGAAGCTGTTCCAAGTAAAGCTGCCATTTGCAATTGACTGATGGTGAATTTGTCAATGCCGATGGTGATCTCGTGGTGCTCCAGTTATTTTGGCTTGCAGCAAAAGCACCTATTACTATTGGTGGTATCTTAGCTTTCTTTTGCTACAGTTGTTTGTGGGTCTTTATATTTTGTTGTTTTCTCCAGTTTTTTCTCTTTTATTCCACTATTTATGGGTACTTCCACGTCCATAATCCATATTCTTTTGTCTTTCTTATCAACAATTATTGTTGTTGTTGTTATCATGGTTGGTCACACAGTCAGCCAGATGTTTGGATTGCATTGGCATTTTTGTCCTCCAATCAAGTCCTTCCCAAGGACCTGTGCGATAGGTAGATGTTTAAGTTGGGTGGTGTTACAGGTATCATGGCAGGATGTAAGCTGTTCCCATTAAAGCTGTCTTTTGCAATTGACTGATGGTAAATTTGTCAGTGCCGGTGGTGTTTAAGTATGGTTAGATGTTTAGACTGTATTTGGCATTTTTGTCCACTTATCTAATCCTGTGATTATTATTATTTCCTGTTCATCCTTCTCCTATGATAGTGTTTTGAGAAACAATTATGCTATTACAGTGTTTGGAGAGCAATAATACTTTAGTCTCAAGGAAAATAACTGAAGCTTTCTTTTCCTGTTCTATTCCTTCAACATGGTGTCATTTTAAATCAGGAGACTGAGGGAAAGAGATTGTATTATTATACAATTGTATCACAGCGGCCAGTTGTTTCGCCGGATTTGGCATTGGTTACTAGTCGGGCCCCACCCAGGGGCCTAGGACGTTGTAACGTATTTTCGTAATATGCGTGCAGATCCAAGCAGTGCGGCTTTTTGCATTTGACTGATGGTGATTTTGTCAATTTTTAANGAGTCAGACATTAGTGAGGCAGGCGAACAGCTCGAGCCTGTTCCCAGGATGCGCATGCGCAGAGTTGTCAGACAAAGGGAACAGCTAAAGAACAGGGGTCAATTTGGGAATAAGACCACAGGTGGATGATGAATGGCTCTTCCCAGAGGACACAAAGGAGGAGCAAAAGGGGAGTGGAGTTTGCAGGAATCCATTAGTTTGCTTAATTGGTTTGTGACTCTCCGAGATGTTTTGCAAGTATCCTCCTGGCAGCTCTCCAAGCCAGATAAGGTCTGTGACTAAATCCTCTCTGGAAAGACTTCGCTGGATATGAATGAGCAGAATTCACAGGAAATTAATAAAAGGGGTTTTTGTCAGGACCAGGAGTTTGCCTCATGCTCTTGGGAAGCCTCGGTCAGAACAGGTTTCCACAAATGGGGAAAACCCTCAGACCACATGATGGTGTGTCATTACCAAGGGAGAAACCAGTTGGCTCAACTCTTCGAGAAGGGTACAGCCATATGGCAGTTTCTGCACTTTGAAAACTGCCTGTTCAGTTTCATAGCACGGTTCCGCTTTCATGAACTTCTTTATCGATGATGAAAGAGAAAATCCATACCATGCTTTTGTTTCTCTCAAAAAAACTGCTTACGTTTTTTTTTAAGTACTGCTTTTAAAATTCAATTAGCGTTTCCACTGGGGTGGAGACCTCACAAGGAAGACAGTTATGATTACATTTTTCTTTTGTTTTAATTGTTTGGTATATACACGTTGAAGATATTTGGTTTGTGTAGCTTGTGGCAATGCTTGAACCTATAAAAAAAAGCGTGGAATGACAACATAAGGAACTTATTACAGGCATTTCTTTACAATTCCTGAGAGCATGGTTTTGGGTGACCGCAAAAGTTATGTGTGTTTCTTTCTCTCCCTGTTGTTTGTGTATATGTTTCCCTTTTTAAGATGACTTAATAAAGGAACTGACTTTTATTTACTTATTTAAATGTAAAGGATTTGGCTACATCTGGATTCATTGATAAGAGATACTTGAATTCACCATGATGTTTTAATTTATTTCTAATAACCTCCCCTATCCCTTTTAGTCTTCATTCTGCAAGAAACCACATTCTGCTTTGTAGACAAATGCTGCAGTTTAAGGCTTAAATTATTCTTGCAATTCATTGGTAACAGCCTTCATATAACCAATACTGTGAGTGGATATCATCACAGGTAGTCCTCAACTCATGACCACAATTGATCCCAAAATTTATGTTGCTAAAGAGAGAAATTTGTTAAGTGAGTTTTGCACCGTTTTACAACCTTTCTCGCCACAGTTGTTTAGTGAATCGCTGCAGTTTTGAAGTCCGTATATATATGGTTGTTAAGTGACTCTGGTTTCCCCATTGACTTTGCTAGTCAGAAGGTTGCAGAAGGAGTTCGCATCTCCCCAGCATACTGCAA